TTAACATTAATTATTTTCTGAAAAACAGAAATGAATGTTCCTGTTTATATAATATAGAAAAGAATTCAGCCCATCCATGGAGGAAGGAACCTTCCTCCATGGCCCATCCAAACCTTAACTCTCCAATAACGTTCATGGACGCCGCCATGTTGCATGTCGCTTGTAATAACCGGTTGTTTGTTCCTGGCGTTCGAGCGGCCGACCCACGAACAACAAATCGAGCTGTTCGTGAACGTACAGGAACAAGCCGCCTGAACTCAGCCAATGTGTAGTAAGTGGTATGCACTCGACGTGAAAGATCCCCCAAATCAACGTGCATTAACATGTACATGTAGCTGTAGGCCTAGCAAAAGTAGCATTGCTGGGCCTAGGCTCATTTCATGATCTACTGCGGCATACATGGCCATAATGGCATGTTTACTTTGTGTGGACCTCTTGTAAAGAGTTCCACACACTAGGCTTCCAACAAACAGCACCAATTTCTCCTTAAAAAATTTAAAGTGTAATAACCAGATAATTAATAGTGGTGAGACAGTAATATGTCCTAAAAAGTGAAATTTAGCTAGGGAAATTTTGAAGCATTTTTTATTTTACTGAAACATGTCACATGCATGTGTAACGTTAGGCCTAAAATGCTGACTTAGACTTTCAGACAAGTCTCAAGATACTACATGTACATGTACATGTAAGAGACAACACTTGAAGTTGATCATTCATGTTGATGCCCCTATGTACAATTCACTACAAACTTACGAACTTCGAGTTCATAGGTTTGTACATGGGGACATTAAGTGTTGTCTGTATGTGGAATTCTTTCTGAACTCTTTTCCACTCTTTTGTTCCAGAAATGATTTATGTAAACTAAGATAAAAGCATTATAAGCTAGATTGTAGATATCTGCCACATATGCCTCACAAACGTACATGAAGTAGCATGAGTAAAATTTATAGTAAACAGTAAGCGTAAATAACAATAATAATAATAAGCACTTGTAAAGTGCCATCTATCTCTCAAACTATTCTGAGGCATGGTATTATCATTATCCCTGCACATTGGGCTCACATCATCTGAACATTCCTGAAATCATCTCAGCTCCCTAGGGAGTATACCAGCCCAGTGCTGCCATTTCGGCGCAAACGGCTAAACATAACCGTGTCTGTCCTCACAGGTACCCATTTACTCCTGGGTGGAGAGAGGCACATAGGGGTAAAGTGACTTGCCCAAGATCACAACATGCTGCCACCAGCTGGATTTGAACCCCCGACCCTTTGATCAGAAGCTACAAACCCCAACCCTGTGTTCTTGGTGCAGCTTTATTATGGTTGTAGGCTATATAGCTTAGCATTGTTTAACTTAAGGCATGTTTTATAGCTCCATGGTTTAGGGCATATTTTTTAATGAAGATGAACGTGCAGCCCTTTCACTCACTACGTTTGTTCACTTCTACCTCTGGAACTAACATTTGTTTGAGCACAGATGCTACAATTTTTGCAGATGCATTTGATTGCAATTAAAAATAGTGAGCAAGATGCAAGAAGATGTTTGTGGTTACCTTTTGGAGCTTGCACTTGCCTGAATGGTCATGATTTTCATGAAATAAATTGCCTTTGAGCGTCCAACACAATCTTTGTCCCACAGATTACATGCAGTAAAATGCAGAAAAGGATTTAAAATTGATGCAGACCTCAATTAACCTATCACTGTTTGTCATGTTTGTGAGGTAACCACGCCCCTTGACCACCCAATGGATTTTGTATGTTGAGTTTTGTTTGTTCTCAGATTTTGCACGTTCGGCATCCATTTCGTATGTCATGTAATTGGACAATATTTCACAAGTTGCACTGACAGGATTCTACCGTAATCAGTCAATTCCTACCGTTTCTAATGCCATGTTGTGTCTTTGTGTATAGTTCACACAGTGTGAGATCAGATCGGATGTACATGTGTACGATATTTTTTCTGTCACTTCTCTCCTTAACTGTAACTAATGTTCTATTCTGACAGTTTTCCCAAACCCAGAAGGCATGGATTGAAAAGAATATCAAGAAAAAGGAGTGTGGGAAATTCATAAGCGATCCCAGAGATTTGCAGAGGTATGTTTTTCTGTACTGTTTGCAAACTGATCACGATACATGTACAGATACTTGCAGCTCAGCCGGTTGGTTGAGCTCCATTACTGTATTTGAGAAGTGAGAGCTTCACATCTCCTCCAGTCAGTTTTCCACATTGACTCTAGTCACCTCTGTGTGGACACAGTGATACAGCACATCCGGCTCACTTGGTAGAGCACCAGTGCTCTATTCTGAAAGTAAGAAGTTGGAATCCCTCTCCCGTCAATTTCAACATTTTGACTCTAGTCAGTTTTCCTCCTTGTTAGATGCGGCTGTGGTGGCACGGTGATACAGCACTCTCAGCTGACCCAGACCTCCCACGTCCGTTCGTCGTCCATCAGCCGCGTCTGGGACAGCAACAAGCACACCCAGCTTTTCCCGACAGACGCTTACGGCGTGGTGGAATTCCAGGGGGCTGGCCACGGCAACAAAGCCAATGTAAGAGAGACTACAATGTAGTCTGATCATTAACCCTGCAGATTTGTGCATTGTCTCTATACAAGCTGTTTTTGATGTGACACTGAGAACGGGTGGCAATGTGCCTTCGGTTCTCGGCTTACTTCATACTTTAAAGTAATCAGTGACAGCACTAAAGACTAACCTCCACATCAGTCGTGAAGTGACTGCATTGAAGATGTACTGGTCGCATCACTGGTCACAGGTTTTTAGATGTCCTTGTACATGTGCAGCGTGTATGCACCATCATAGCAGAGTTACTTATTCGAAGTATCTATCAATTTGCTGTCTAAAATCTGATGACTTACCTTCCTGTTTCTTTCATGTTTGTTTATTTTGCCAATCTGAATAATGTGATATCAAAGTACATGTTACTCTTAACCCTCCTATGCTGAAGTCACTCTTTGGGTCTCAAAGAAGCACAGCTGTGTGGTGTTGTGCACTGCACCAACTGTCCCTCACAGGAATATCAGATTGCCCTTTTGTGCTGCCCAACAACTGTGCTTCACTGTTTCAT